CTTCTTGTTGAAAACCGCAAGTCCAATTGCTGATATTACATATATAGGTACTACATGTGGACCTCTCTCAGATTTGTTCATTTTGTAATGATATCTTCAATTCTCTAATTTTGGTGAATATTTTTGTAATTTTTGGTAAAAAGTGATATTTTCGACTTCTTGTTGAAAACCGCAAGTCCAATTGCTTTGATATTACATATATAGGTACTACATGTGGACCTCTCTCAGATTTGTTCATTTTGTAATGATATCTTTAATTCTCTAATTTTGTGAATATTTTTGTAATTTTTGGTAAAAAGTGATATTTTCGACTTCTTGTTGAAAACCGCAAGTCCAATTGCTTTGATATTACATATATAGGTACTACATGTGGACCTCTCTCAGATTTGTTCATTTCATAATGATATCTTTTATTCTCTAATTTTGATGAATATTTTTGTAATTTTTGGTAAAAAGTGATACTTTCGACTTCTTGTTGAAAACCGCAAGTCCAATTGCTTTGATATATTATACATATAGGTACTACATGTGGACCTCTCTCAGATTTGTTCATTTTGTAATGATATCTTCTGTTCTTTAATTGCCATGTGCATTGCTAACAGCGGAGCTATCTCAGCCGACAGGCTGCTTGTTTGGTAAAAAATCCTATTTTCAACTTCTTAAAAACTACCAACACAATTGCTTTGATACTAAGTATGTAAGTACCGGTACCATAGGTATAAGATTTGTAACCAGATAACAATTGTAATTGCCATAGCAACAACTACAAAACCATGGTTATGATATACATTGTAGCAGGAAAATTGTAGGAATAATAACCATGGAAAATAGCTAATCTCATTGTATAGAACGTTATCAACTTTGTTCTGTCTACAAAGACAGCAGAGCTATATTGGCCGTTGGGTTGCTTGTTGAGATCTTTGTGTGATGTGAAATATTAATTTCATGATTATGTGAGAATTGAGAGAATATTCAAGAATTGGAGGGGAGATAAAACTTACAATCACATGTTGAGTTAGAACACCATTAAAACAATGTAATGAAAATTTACAGATTGTTTTTTATTTATTTTCGGTACAGTTACTGATTTAAAGGAAACAGTGGCATTCAATCTCGATAAAATGAACAAGATTATTGGATTGACTGGAAATTTGATGCTGAAAGGAATACAAGCAAGGAAGGTATGTATCAGTACAAGTTTCCACCACTAGGCAGATCATACAAGTACTTTAAAATATCTCAAACAATGTCCTGGCTTTATCTTAGCAAATCTCACAGCTTTTAATTAGTGAATTTCCTTCAAGACCTTCATTACCCAATTCTGAATTTAGATAAATGCCAACAATCACACATTTATACTGAGTTACTGTACTCGTGTTATAAGAGTCAGCTAAAGCTACAACTTTTTGTTGTGACCTTTGTGAAATTTACTACTCTAGAATTCTCATTATAAAATTGCAGTCATTATAAAAGCATTTATAATTATTATTATTTTGTCTTATTTCAACTATGGAGCTACAAGAAAAACATATGGAAATTTTCTATTTACAAAATACAGAAATCTAATCTGATATTGTACTACCCTAATAGATGCATGTTTGTGTGTCTAGTTTTATCTTATTTGAAACATTTCACACTAGGATTGCACTGTGTTCAATATGGGTTTCCTGCAATGGTTACTACCGGTATGTGAAAACATTTACAACACGTGTGAGATACTTCATGTACATGTATATGTAATTGTAGATGCACTGTTTGGTGAACATCGCCCTTGAAATTGCCCCGAGTAGAGAAATAAACAGTAATAGACTGACTTACAAACGGAGGTCAGTCTCTGATAACTGGGACTAAAATTCAACAGAGAATTGTGGGTAATTATTGTAGATAAGGTGTACTCGTCCATCTATTCTCTTTAATCTGACATCAAATGTCCATTCTCGAGAATCAACCATTTTTTTATTTCTTCTCTTTTTTACAGTCAGAAGAGACAGAAGAATGTGATATTGAGCAAAGATCCAAGAAACTGAAAGTGACGTAACTTGTGGTGACACTGTAGGCTATATTAAAAGTATTCAAACGACTTATCAATTTGTATTCACGACAACACAACTAACATTGAATTTGTTTCAGCATTATCATATATATCACTTATATAAATGATTCAAGATTTAGATTTAATTTCAACACTGCCATTATTGATTTCCTTTGTCATACCAAATTTGTTTTCTGTTTCTTTTTTTTTTATTCCAGTTTTACGAAGCAAGAATCTTTTTTACATGAACACAAATGAATGAAATAAAAAGAATGTTCTTATTTTAATATATATATATGCATGTGTTTATATTATGGAATTCTTCTATTAGCATGCACTTACAGACTTGCGTATATAACAGAGGTGTCAGTGTGATCAATATAAGTTATATTTCAATAACATAGTTTACGATATAAATTTTTTAGTTATTTTTTTTTATTTGAAATGCGTTTTTAATTGACAACTATGATGCTATATTTATTTTGAATTAAGAACAGCAAATCACATTGTGATCTGGTAATGCTAATTTTATAATGTTGCATTTAATTGCAAACTTTTAATAGAGGATTTACGATTTATCTTATTCATATACTGTAAAACCCTTTATTTTCACTAATTTGATATTTTTCAGCAAATTCACTGGGTTTGAAATTTACGTAAATAGCAACAAAACAATAAGTTCATGTTCACATGGAATTAATTTAGCACATTTTACTTATTAGCGAAATTAAAACCTAGCGAATAATACATTTACATTACTGGTATATAACCATTTTGTAGGTATTTGTAGTTTAGGTGGAAACACCAATATTTTACAAAAGCTTCTCTGTCCATTATTTTCAATAAAATTGTAGTTTTTGTCAGATTGTCTGAATTGAGTTTATTGTCTTGTTTTCAGCATTTTGTAAATATGTGTTTAAAAACACTCTACTTGCTCACAATGTTATGATGTTTTGATGAAATTAATAGATTTAGCTCAAATGGAAGTAAATTGCAAAATTGTTGAAAAAATTATGCAATTTTATTTTGTGAAAGGTCAAGTCAGCTTTTGTGGTGTTCAAAAAGTTAATGTGAAATAATTATCATTACTCGTCACATCAATTGACCACTCTATAAGTCAAGCGCCCTCAAACACTTCCTATTTCAGAAGAACAGAAGTTGGTATAGGTCTCGTGCCACTAATCAACCAATGGCTGCTCGTAGCTCAATTTGAATGCCTAGCAAGAACCAATGAAATTTTTTAAATATTTTTTTTCTCAGGTGCTCCTTGTCTGAGGGTGTAATCACCTGAATCAGAGGTGAGACCAACATGTGGTCTTTTGTTTACTACTTAGCGGCTGTGTACCTGTGGGTTAATTCTGTGTGTATTTGGATGTTCTAATCTTGGTGTTTTTCCAGTGATTTCTCTCGGTGCAATCCAAATACAGTAGGTGTGTCTTGTTTACCTGAGATTTGCAAGAGTTTGAGCTGGCCAACATGTGGCATCTTTATTTACAAATGTGCGCAGAAAACTGTTCCGTTACATGTTATACCAGGGTGGGCTGTTACTAGTTTGTGATATCCATTATTATCATATGTCCACCAACCGGGGAAAACCAGAGATAACAATTTTGTATTGTGGGAAATTCTCTGGAAACTTGTGTTCGAAAGCAATGCAGTACATGGTAAAGTGTTGGACTACTTTATTATTACATAAAGAAAACTAAGTGAACTTTTAAATATTTTAGGGATATTGCTTGTGAGCTGCTGAGTTGATGAATAACTTCCTACTGCTTCCCACTATGATTGCCCCACCTCTATTGAATCTCATCAATTATTGTCACCGTAACATTGAAGAGAGTATTTTCTGTCTATTCTTGGGGTTGACATCCTGGTATTTTCACTGCCTGGCAACCATCATCACCAAAAACTACCAGAAAACTGTACTTTGGGATAGTTGTTGAGACTACTGAACAGTGTAACAATATTACTTCTATGTATGCAACATATATAAATTTGGTTGCTCAGAATTACTTCAAAGTTGAGTTTGTGTTGTTTCCTCGACTTTAGCTGTCTTCACCGGCTCTTCGACTGGCATTCCACAGCTCACACAGAACCCGTAGAAATACATGAAACAGTTGTGCTCGTCTTAGCATTATAGAACGTTCTGTGACGTAGCTCCGGCCGCAAAGATACTATCAAACCACGGGGAGGGGCATTACATGAGATTAAACACCATTGGAAACTTGCTCTTATTTAATTATGACTTAAAGATATACCCAATAAACTAACAACAAAAAATGTAATACAGTACAATACTTTTTTTCGCTATTTCCAATGAAGGGATGATTCAACCGAGTGAAAATAAAATCCAGTGAATATACCTTTGTTCATATATTTTACATTCAACTTATCAAAATAAGTTCCATACAAACACCCAAAAAGTCTTTTCAGCAAAAATTAATTCTAGCTATAATAAAGTTTTGTCTCTTTCGAGGGGGGGGGGTCCTTGAAATAACTAAATGGGATTACATGATCAGGAACTGAAATCTCGGTTTATTTTTAATCAAGACTTAGGTCCATTAGAAACTCAGGAGAGATGGCAGAATTAAAAATCATTTGAAAATATTCACGTGAGGATTAATAGGAGTTAAACAAAATTTGCATACCTCTTTCTTACCAGAAAAATAATGCACACAGTGAAAATAACTAAATTACATAAAATTTATCATAGTTAACGCACATCGTCCTCCACACATACTAACAGCAAATAGAACAGCACAAGGTTGGGATTTAAACTACCCTAGGGGTGACGTTATTCAACTTTTTCCCCCTACCCTAATGGTAGGAGTGAATACCCCCCCCCCAACACTACAAACTATTAATACAGTAAATATATATGTTACTATGTAACAAATAAACAAAACAAAGAGACTGTAAATTTGACCGATCACGTTTTATCTAGTAAGTCTGTCGTGTTAAATATGCAAAATAAATATGTTAAATAAAAAAGATTACCCGGGGTACAAGTACATTCTCGTACTGTACTCGTACCGGCAGTTCGCTCATTATAGCGCCGCCAACGTCGACCTCTATATGTCCTGGATGACGCCAAGATTCCCGGAATCGTTGTTTCATTTCGAAGCGTTCCTGGTGTTTTAGGT